ATTCATAAAACCTAAAGAAGGGAGTTGCATTTTTATTTTCTCTTGATTAGTCAGCATGGATGGCAGAGAAAAAGTACAAATAGTGATATTTCAATAGATATGCAACCTTCAAATTCATGTTAAAGTCTTTTTGAAGCATTCTGTTTCTTTGAGCAATATAGGGTTTAGTTTATGTGATAAATAATAGAACTATAACTTTGAAATTATACACTGGTCAGTCTTTGCACTTTTGCAGTGGGTAGGCTGCAAAAAAAAACAACAAAACCCTTGGTTACATTTAATTGAGTTCAGTGCTTTCAGGAGTGGTAACTGACCTTAAAGAATCTGAGAAGAAAAATAGTTTATTATCCTTGCAGTCTCTCTGAAGCATGAGGTTAGAATCATAGACTCATAGAATATACCAAGTTGGAAGGGATCCACAAAGATCACTGTGTCCAAATCCTAGCTCTTCAGGACTGCCTAAATATTAAACCTTATTTCGAGTGCAATGCCCAAACATTCCTTGAACTCCAGCTTCCCTCACAAGAAGCTGTAGACCACCATGAGACCTCCCCTGAGTCTCCTCTGTGCTGAATGAACCAAAGAACCTCAGCCACTCATGATATGTCATGCCCTTTAGACCCTTCACCATCTTTGTAGCCCTACTTTGGACACTCTCTAATAGCTTTATGTTCTTATATTGTGGTGCCCAAACTTGCACATAGTACTCAAGGTGAGGCTGCACAGCTCAAAGTAGAGTGAGACAATCCCTCCCCTCTCCCTCTGGAAGTGCTGGGCTCCATGCATGCCAGGGCACGGTTGGCCTTTTGACTGCCAGGGCATACTGCTGGCTGTTCAACTTGCCGTCATCCAAAATCCCCAGATCCCCTTCCACAGGGCTGCTCTCCAATCTCTCAGAAATGAAAGACAGCACTTGCATTGGGTGGGATGTTAACAGAAAAAGGCATGACATGGCATCCTTTACAAAACAACAAATATAATATATTGATAGAAATCAGATGAATCTTTAAAAATAATTAACTTTTTCAGATGCTGTTTGTTTACACACCCATACTTGTCTTGACTCATATTTTTGTTTGGACTAACTTTTTAAATGAGAGAATCTTTAGTTATGACAATCCATCTTAAGACATGACTAGGAGTTTGTGAAGCACAAACTGTCAGACCAAAAAGTGTCATCAATCCACCATGCAACCACATAGGCCCTGGGCTACACAGCGTACAAGTTCATATATTCTTCTTGTATTACTTTTTTACTAAAAGCAATTTTAGTACTTTTTGCTTCAGGCATTTACTACAAAAGCATTTAATCATCCTTTAAAGTCTGATTTGTTGAATTTTAAATTAAGATTGACAGATTATGTTTTGACAGTTTCTGAGTATTTATACTCTCAAATAAGGTGAATCCAGGAGGAAATAATTCTTATCTTGTAATTACGAGTTATACAAGATGAAAAAATTTGCATATGCTTGGCTCGAACTGTGAAGTGCAAATATCTTCAAATCTTTCTACAGTTTTAGCCTATTATATTTCCCTTTTCTGTACAACTGATCTCTGCCTGCCTAATTTCTGTGATTTAGAATTGAAGAACTTTGATGACTCTGTAACAGTTTCAGACAAAAACAAAAACTTAAATTTGAAACAGAACAGAATTTTGAAACAACACAGCCTTTGAGCTGTTTTTATGCAAGAAATAATATAGAATCATATAGAATCATAGAATGACTTGGGTTGGAAAGGACCCAAAGGATCAAGTTCCAACCTCCCTGCTACAGGAAGGGCCACCAACCTCCAGGTCTGGCCCAAGCTGCCCAGGGCCCCATCCACCCTGGTTTTGAACACCTCAGGGATGGAGCATCTGTAACCTGTCAGGGCAGCCTGTTCCAGCACTCACCACTCTGTCTATGAAGAACTTCCCCCTGACAACTAACCTAAACCTTCCCTCCTTGAGATTAAAACCATTCCTCTTGTCCTGTTACTATCTTCCCGAGTAAAGAGTTTGTTTTGTAATCCCCTTTTAAATGCTGGAAGGCTGCAATGAGATCTCCTTGCAGTCTTCTCTTCTACAGACTGAACAAGCCCAGCTACCTCAGCCTGTCTTTGTAAGGAAGGTGCTCCATACCTCTGATCTTCTTCATACACCTCATTTAAATGAAACATTTTCTAGTCATTTTCACAAAACGCATTAGAAATTAACAGAACTTGGCATTGATGGCACATTAGAATCCTTTGCTGTTGCATATCACAATATTGTCCTCCCATCTCTGAACATCAAATGTGATTGCTGATGTCATAGAATCAAAGAATCATAGAATGGCCTGGGTTGAAAATGTACCTGTACTTGGCACTGATGAAGCATTGGTGAGGTATTGATGAGGCCTCAGCTTGAGTACTGTGCTCAGTTTTGGGTACCTCAGTGCAGAAAGGACACTGAGGTGCTGGAGCAGATCCAAAGAAGGGCAACAAGGCTTGTGAAAGGCTTGGAGAATATGCCCTATGAGGAGAGACTGAAGGAAATGGAGCTGTTTAGTCTGGGAAAAAGGAGGCTGAGGGGAGACTTCATTGCTCTTTGAATATCTGAAAGGTGCTTACAGCAAGAGTGGGGTTGGTCTCTTCTCACTGGTGACAAGTGGCAAGACAAGAAGAAATGGCCTGAAGTTGTGCCAGGGTAAGTTTAGGTTGGATATCAGGAAACATTTCTTTACAGAAAGGGTTGTTAAACACTGGAATAGGCTCCCAAGGGTGGTGGTTGAATCACCATCCCTGGATGTGTTTAAAAACTGTTTGGATGTGATGCTCAGGGACATGATTCAGTGGAGGGCTGTTAGGGTTAGGGTAGTATGGTTAGGACTCGATGATCTTTAAGGTCTTTTCCAACCTGAGTGATTCTATGATTCTGTGATTCTGTGATTCTGTGATAAAGATGTTGAAGAGCACTGGTCCCAAGACAAACCCCTGGGGAACACCACTCCTCACTGGTCCACCTGAGTATAGAGCTGTTGAACACTGAAAATATATTGATCTACTGTTATTCCCATCTATATTCTTAAGTTAAGAACTAGCTTCTTTCAGTTTTAATAGACACTTGTCCATTAATGACAAGAAGAAGTATTGTTTGAGGTAGTAATCAGCAAGATAACTGGCATAAAAGGTTGGTAGAAATAGGAAAAATAGAAAAGAAGATAAAGCAGGTGACTTTGGATCAAGGCATAAGTTAAGGAAAGTACTTACATATGACAATTGCCTTGCCTTTCCTAAAGCTTATACTATTCTATTTCTGCAGCATACATCCTGAGAGAATCTGGCATTGTCAGAAGGGTTAAGGAAAATCAAACTCCACATGAACGTTTTAATTTTTGAGATAGAGCTAAAACCTAGTATAGTTATCAGATGGTTCAAAAAATGAAGGACATGGCCAGATATATATGAGTGTATGTGTATTTATTTGTGTATTTCTGTCTCTCTTTATATATATGTGTATATGTATAGCCACCATTGCTGCACTATAACCCCTCATTTCATAAATTGACATCTCTAAATCTGAAGTTGAGCTACAAAGACATTTTCTTAATGAAATTTTTGTGGCCTAATTTTATGAATGTACTTTAATTTCAGTAACAAAACCTGAAATATATCAACTGTGCAAAAAAGTAGCATTTGGCCAACTAATCAGTCACTACTAATTAACCAATTACAACAGCTATAATGGAAGTTCTTAATCAAAGCTCTAGAAGTAGAATTCCCTCTTTAGCTCTTCCAAAATGATATTGCAATGCCACTGAAGATGAGGTCAATTTAAAATTAGCAGAGAATGCTTGTATAGAAGTATTTTGGAATGTTGCTTATTTATTTTTGTAATCTATAATGAATATATAAGTTCAGTTGCAGCAGAATTTCTCCTAATTTAGTTTAGTCAGTATTTACATAGAAACATCTTTGAGCAGATGCAGTCAACAGCAGAAAGTCATTAATTTAATAGATTTAACCATCGTATTTCAAACTAGCGGATGAAAGGTGAGCAAAAGACCATGCCTACAGTCTGAGATGGAAGCATCTTATATGCCTGTGTTGAGACAGTGAATGTTATACAAAAATGGAGAAAACACTCTATCCACTCTTTCCTGCCTGAGCTGTGTCATTTCTGCCGTGATTATGCTGTAATTATTTTGTGGAGTTTCAGCTTAGCACTCTCCTAGAGTTTAACAAATTAGGAAACTAAAAAACGTTACCTACCAACAATCATGAAATCTCCTTTCTTTGTCTCTTTTCAATATGCTTAATGAAGCTACTAGGCTGTGAAAAATTTCCAAAAATCCCTCTGTTTATTATGTAATTAGGATAGGCTAATAATCACTTTCATCATGCCAGCACAACTTATGTTGAGTGACATCAAGACCCCATCTAGGTTTCAACAGTCTACATCTTTTACTCAGTCTTTTTAATTGTCTGCTCTGTAGCTTGTTATCTCAATCCTACCAAAAATGAATGATCATAGATATATTGTCAAAATATGCATTGAAATGCAATAACATGAAGTCAGCCATCTAATTCCATGCTTAACATACATTGGTGTTGTATAAATTATGTGTAACACACATTATCCTGAGGCAATTCATTTATCTTTTTCTCTTCTAGTTATACAAGAAAAAATAATAGCAACGTAGAGATAATTTAAGACTGAGGCCAGTAGTGTTTTGATTTAAATTGCATTAGAGAACCATTATATTCCTCGCCAGATGAAAACTCTTGAGACATAAAGAGTAAAAGTCAGGACATAAGTTTTCACTAGCCTCTGTGAGGTGTTACTTTGTTGTTATTTTTCTGTTGTTTTATTTTTCTTCTTCCTGTGTCTTATGACTATCACCTTCTCCATATAAAATACAGCAGAGATAAATTTTGTTTTTCCATATTTCCATTTTCTAGTTTTTTTGTTTTGTTGTTGTTTTGTTTTTTTTATATGTTTGGTCTGTTCTTCAAACTGTTTCAGAATTAGCAGAGTTTTTTGAAGTCTTGCTCTCTGCATGACGAAACGCTCCTCTCCAAGAACTAAAAAAAATGCTATGGTGGAACAGAGGCTGCTTTACACCTGCTGGGGGCACTGCAATACAAAGAAAAGGAGCGGTGAATGCTGGTGAGATTGTTTTCTGCCAGTTTGTCCGACTACATTTTATGACATAATGACATTTGACTGTAAAGTTTGAACTTCTTTTTTCCACAAAGTAATTTTTTTCCTAATGTATTTATTTAGAATAACATTAATGATTCTTTTTTTTTCTCTAGAAGGCACTTTGAAAGAAGATTTTAATTGTGTTCTGAAGGACATTTTTCAGTATTCTCACACATACTCATACTGATGAGGAGGACTGAGATAATAACGTTAAAATGAGAATTAAAATATAAGTGATAATTTATGTAGTATAGAAAAAGAATTTTTTAATTATCTCCTATCAGCATTTCAAGCATCTTTATTAACTTGGTAATTCTAATTAGTCTAAGACAGAATCACTATAATTGTATAGGTATTATTACATTTGTATTATTTTCTAGAGAGCAAGAAAAAATCAGAAGACTGACCAATCATTTCAATATAAAATGTAAAGTGTTATGCACATCTCTGACAGTGCTATTGAATAAGTTGTCACTCGATATAATTCATTAAATTATATTAATTTAATTTAAAATAGTCTGTAAGATTTTGCAGATATGAGTGCAGATCAATTGTTGTAACTTCTTTTTCACAGATAAAATATGGACTTTCTGTAGGAAAAAAAAATCAGTAGCTGTAGAAGTGAGCTCATAAAAAAACAAAAATATGTACATATGATTAGGCATATAAACAAAATATGATGATTAAATGACCTCTTAGAAATTTTATTTACTCATCAACAATGTCTCAACCATTCTCTTTGCTTGTCATTTGTAGAAGATCTTTCACCTTAGAAGCTGACAAAAAAACCTGCAACTTTCAGCAAAAATAAGATAAGATTATCAGAATTGAGAGCTGTCACTGGGAGGAAAAAGATGATTAAATGTATTCACTAACCACTCAAAAGGAAAAGGCTATCCAGGTTCCACAAGTATAGTAGTATAGCTATAGTGCTATCTGCATGATTGACAGTAGTTCCATGCAATTGCATGTTATTTTACTTCCTTTTACTCCTAAAAATACATTCTCTGTACTTTTCTCCCATTAGTAGTCAAATTATAATGACTTATAAAGTCTAGTTGTGGTGTGATTTCTGATAACAGGGTGTTATTCTTGCAAAATGGATTCAGTCTTCTTTGCGAATTTGTTTGCGTCCAGTTATGCCATTTGGAAAATGGAAGACTTACTTTGATAGTACAATAATCACAGATTAGAGGCTTGGCTGAAGAGAGGTCATTGTATTTCCAGGATTTATCAGTAAACTGCTTATAAGTGCTATTGGTTTGCTGACTGCTTCTTTGCAGTCTTAAAGCAAGGATTTGACATCACGCTCCTGATATTCTGTGCTTTATGATAAATTCTCTGCATTGCAATAACCATTTCGTACTCTCATCAGGTACCTATCTCTAGTTTTTTCAAAAGTGTATGACATGCCATTAGAATTTACTAACTATATTTTTCCTGCATTAGTGTTTCAATACCACTTTCTTTGCATTGTGGAGAAAAAACAAGATCTGTTTTTACTATTTTCAACAATAGTTTGACAACAACAATAAAATAATATTGGCACTATATTGCTTTTAGAAATGGCATAATACTCTCTGGTTTCATAATATCCCTACAACAAGGAAAATAGATTATCCACACTAATATATGGACATTATCTTTTTCAGATTTGCACTTATTTAAACAAATTTCATAATTCTCTTAAGTTCCCAATTTTTAACTCATTTGTGGAGTTTTCTTACAGAGGTTGTACATACATGTGTTAAGTACATCTTCACTTAGTCATTCATATTCTGGTAATAGCCAGTTAGTTTGAAAGCAGAATTATCTTTTAATGCTTAACAGAGCAACTGGTATGTTTCATGTTTGTAAAAGCTACAATGATCAAAGTAGTACTCTTTCTGAAGTACTATTTCCAAAATGAGAAAACTGAGGAAGGATAAGATCTTGATAGCATTCACGAAATGAAAGATAACCAAACAGAGAACAGTATGAAACAGCTTAATTCTTAATTAGTTAAAGATTTGCTTACTTCATCTGGACATCACTTCTCATTGTTGTAATAATGCTTATGCTTAGAAGGACACAGATACTGCTAAGTTTCTAAGATGACAGAGAGAAGAGTCATCACCTCTTGACACATATTTGTTATAGTTTCTCTTTCAGAGTAGGAGGTGTTAAAGGTCAGGGCTTTGGCATTCAGGCTGAATCTCAAGAATTTGTACTTTAAGTCTTGGCTTAAAATACATTTTCCATATTTACCACAATTTGAAGCTATTTATAAGTGTTACATGACAATCATTTCTTTGTTCATGGAGAGGTTACAAGATAATATAGAATTTTGTGGACAATGGGATGGAACAGCAGATTAAAAATAATAGTAAAATAATATTTTCATTAAGTATTTCCATTTTTATCCTTTTTAAGGCCTCCAGCTCACCTCTTCCCCTTCTGTAACAAAAAGCTGACAAAAGCACACTAAAGAACAGTGCAGTGAAATGAAGACAGAAAATACGAATAGTATTAATAACAGCTTTTGCTTATAATTGTAGTCACTTCATGTATTTCTGAAACTACTGCACAATGACATTCCTTTAAAAGATATACAGATCAGAAAAAATTATTGGATGAACCAGTTACAGAGTAATTCCTTTATTACTTAATGTAAGAGGAATCTGAAAGCTCACGTTAGAAAATCATATTGTAATGACAGGGTCAGCTACAAAATGTCTATTATCTTGATGTAGAGCTAAATATGTGCATTTCTTGCCCTCATCTTAGAAGTTCAAATACAGTTATGAATTTAATTTTCCAGTACAAAATATATTATTATCCCTAGATGTTAATCTATCATGATCTGTACCTAGAACAGTGATTTTAGAAGACAAAACTCAGTTCAATTTTTAAACCTTGTGTTTACTAGTCAGCTATAAAAAAATCCTTAATACTGCCATGCTTTCAGATCAGTGTATTCAGTCCCATCCCACAGAAAGACCTTATGCTTTAGAAAAAACAACACCTTTTCTCAGTTAAACATGAGTTGTGGATCTCACTGTTGTTATTTCAAACATATTATTGTGTAATTTCTTATTATATCAATTTCTATGGAACCCAACAGAACAGCAGAACACTGATTTTCTGTAGTGTTTGTTATATGGCACTTAAAGTAACTACTGTACCTTGACACTAGTCCCACAAACTATTTAGATCCTTAGATCTGCCATTCTACTACATGCAGCCTTCATTCCTGAGGTAGGGATTTAATAACTCCTATTTCTTTACTTCATTTTTTTCTGAGAATTCAAAGCAGACAAAGTTGGCAAAGGGACTCTGTTTGCCTTCAACAAATCAAAATACTGAGTCCCTTGTTACATTGGACTGCATGAAGTGATGGCACAAGCCAAACTACACCGCTCTGTCTCCATTTCATATTACAAAACTGTCTAGCAACTTGGCTGAAAGCAAAGAACATTTTTTATAAAGAACATTTAAAATATACAGAATATTTTAACCAAAAATCTTGATGTTACTTTTGTAAGCTGACAACAGAAGAGGTTTTCAGTATGTAATAAAACTTGGAGGATCAAAGAATCACAGAACATAGGACGGAGTTAAAGAAAACTCTGGGGATCATCTGGTCCCACCCTCTGTTAAAGCAGGTTCCCTACAGCAGGTTGCACAGGAAAGCATTGATGTGGGTTTTGAATATGTCCAGAAAAAGAGACCCCACAATCTCTCTGGGCAGTCATTTTCTGTGATCTGTCACCCTCAAAATAAAGAAATTCCTTCTCATATTTGTATGGAACTTCCTGTATTCCAGTTTTCTCTCACTGCACATTATCCTGTTGCTTCCCACCACTGAAAAGAGCCTGGGCCCATCCATTTGACTCCCATACTTAAGGTATTTATAAACAGTGATGAGATCCCCATTCAGTTTTCTCTTCTCCAGGCTGATCAGTCCCAGATCTCTCAACCTTTTCTCATACAGGAGATGCTCCATGCCCCAGGATCACACGTGCTCTTGACAAAAATGGAAATTCCTTCTTCCTAGTCAGGAAGTAGATAATGTAAGGAACTCTCTGATACATGACTGTTACAGGTATCTTAGAGAAAGATGCTATTTTATACTTAAGTCCCGATGAGAGAAGGAATTATAGATATTCATGTCAAGTCAACCCCTGATATGTGGTCCAAGAACCACAACAGAGGGTAACTCCAGATTTCAGGGTAGCAGTGATTTCTTTATTCAGCCTCATGCACAACAAAAGAAAAATTACCTTGTAAAGTTAACGTGTATATTGCAAAAGAATTTCGTACTTTGGTATGACATGTAGTCCTTCCTCTTTAAAGCATTTCTAACTACCTCATAGGAAAAAAATGACATTTCTCTCTTTCCTTGTATATATGATCCTTTCTTGGCCTTAAGGGCCTACTTTAGGAGCAAAACTAAACTATGATCACGTTCCAAAACTCTTTCTTAAAACTTACTAAACTGCAAAAAAAATTACAGTATTTTTCTTGTAAGCAAAGATTTGTTGTACTATCAATTTGTGACAGTTTTCACAAGGTAAGAGCTGGCTTATAACAGGCAAATTGTGTGTTTGGATGTCTATGATGTCTATGATGTTACATATTAAACTGCAGTTATTTCCTCAGACAGTGAGGGACAGCCATAGAAGAACGTGGTTACTTTGTGGTTATGGTTTAGGCATAGGATATTCAAAAAACAGGATGTTCAACAGTCGCATTGCATGAATGGTGTCATATTTCAAATATAATTTTCTGTAAGACTTTCTCTTCAGGGAGGAGTTAAAGCCTAATGATGACTAGAGGCAGACGTTTTGGCAGTCCTAACTCATAGACAGCATTTGTTGGGTCTAAAAATATGAAAATAAGAAAAATAGTTGTATTTGTCATGCTTGAGTTTGAAATGAAAAGGAATCCTTATTTTTGAATCTTACAGTTATCTAGCTTGTGAACATATTTCACACAAGGAATGAATTTGCAAGAGTGTTTTAATTTTCATTTTATTCATTTTCAACTTCCTAACATATTTCTCAGAAGAGTGAATTAATCGATAATCTTAGTGTCAAAAACACATCATGCATATATGAGAGCAGAGAATTCAACTTCTAGCTAAGTTAATGGTCAATATTAACTTTAGAAGATATATGAATTATAAGATTTTTTAAAATTTATCATTAGCATGCCTTGAGCCTATTTCTATGAAAATAAGAAATGCTATGAAGTTCTAGAATTTTTTTTTAAAAGAATATTTGGACCTTTCCTGATTTTGTTAGTGAATCAAGTGAAATTGTAAAGGATCTAAAATACAATAGATTAAAAATATCTGCAATCATGGCACATTTTCCCTTGAGTTGGCTTTAATGTGACAAGGTTTTTGGTCAATTTAAATTCAAATGGATGTATCCTTAATATAATTTTTGTTCAATATGAAATTAACTATGTTGGTAAATAAAAGCTTAATTTGACCAAGAGATCACTTGAGATATAAATGTGACTGATGTCTGCCAAGCCTATCATGATCTTACAGTCTTATTCTCCTCCCATGTTTAATTACTGTATCAAACAAGGTATTTCTTCTTTGTGTTCAATAGCTGTAGCAGAAACAGTTCACTTCTAATTTGGAATACAGTCTTGAAACCTGAAGTGTACGTTGTTTTTTAATATGGTGTAAAAGACATTCAGAATCTGAGAGAGACAAGAAAAATAAGTGCATATTTTGATTGATCCAAAAAGAAAATATTTTATTTTACGGAAAAGCATATTCTTACAGCTTAGGAATGTCTGCCTGTTATATACTTGAGATATATGTATATATATATTTTACCTTAAATCTATCTATATGTGTTTTTTTTCTCCAAATTCTTTCATAAAAAGAATTTTACTATCTGTGTTAATAAGAATGATTATTATAATAAAAAAGAGCAATTCAGAATCAAAGTCAAATAGTGAAAGACCTCTTGCACTGTTGTGTTTTCTCTGTTCTTTTCCTAATTTTCTACCTCCAAGGATGGGGCATCCACAGCTTTTCTGGACAGGCTGTTCCAGTGCCTCACCACCCTTGTCAAAAGTAATTTCTTACTGATAACTAATCTAATCTAATCGGATTCATGAACACCTGAGGAACCTGAATATCTGCATGTCGATGAGATGCATCCTAGAATCCTGAGGGAATTAGCTGTTGTAGTCGCAAAGCCACTCTCAAATATTTGAAAACTCACAGCAATCAGGTGAAGTTCTTGATGACTGGAAAAAAGGCAACAACACAGCCATTTTTATGATGGATAAAAAAAATGACTCCACAAACTACCAACTTGTCAGTCTCACCTCTGTGCCAGAAAAGATCATGGAGTAGATCTTCCTGGAAGCTATGCTAAGGCACATGGAAGGGAGGGAGGTGATACAGTAGAACAGGCATGGCTTCACCAAGGGCAAATCCTGCTTGATCAGCCTTGTGGATTTCTGTGATGAAATAACTGCATCCATGGACAAGGGAAGAGCCACTGATGTCATTTATGAGGACTTCAGTAAGGCATTTGACACAGTACCTCACAACATCCTTTCCAAAATGGAAACATATGGATTTGACAGATTAACTGCTTGATAGACAAAGAACTTGTTGCAGAATTGAATCCAGAGAGCTGGACTAGATGACCTCTAAAGGTCTCTTCCAACCCTGTGGATTCTATGATTCTATGAAACCCACCCTTTTCAGTTTAAAACAGTTACCCTTGTCCTGCACACCCTTATAAAATGTACATCTTTCCTGTATGCTCCCTTTTAACACTGGAAAACAGCTGTAGGTTCCATTGAAGCCCAGCCCTCTGTAAACTGAATAGCTCCAACTTTTTTCAGCTTTTCTTCATAGGAGAGGTGCTTCAGTCCTCTACTTGTGGCCCTCCTCTTGACCTGTTCCAATAGATCTATGGATTGCTTCTGCTGAGGCCTCCAGAGCTGGATGCAGTTCTCCTGGAACTAAGAATAAATACATGAATGTGTAGATCCTCTTTGCCATAGTGGGGGAAACTTGAACTCTCTAACCTGAATTATTTGTTTTTTTCAAATTAGTTTTTAATGCTTGGGAATATTTCCAGGCAGTTTAGTTACACTTCTTATATGAAAAGTTGATGAAGTAAATTGTTATGGGGAGAAGAAAAGGCATCTGCTTTATGAAAGATTTTTATTTTTATGTGTTTTCCTTTTCTTTCAAATGTATCACATGCTTGCATTATTGTGTGATGCTGAAATTTGTATTGTATGCAATTTTTTCAAAAGCGTTTTATGTATGTAGTGAAAATTATGTTTTAGAGAAGTGTGACTGAATGACGTTAGATTTCCTACTCCTCAAGAGAGATAGCATTTCTCAGCAAGATTGGTATGTAGTCTTTGTTGACATCCTAATGTTGCTGAAGGGTTAATCTAATCATATGAGCCCCTGTAACAAGGGCTAATCTAGTTACATGCACTTGAATGTGTTGGTGGACCTTAGAGGTATACTTCACTGTGCAGGTAAACCCCAAATTCTCATGCCCTTGTGACCTCCTCCTACTCATGCACCACAGTTTTTCTTGGGAACTTGCTCACAGATGCAGAAACCTTAGTCTTCAGGTTGATGACTCTGATTTCTCGTTACCCTTTGACCTCTGGGACTTCATGCATTGTGAGTATCCATGGGAACTTGATAGGCTATTACCCTCATGCACTATTTGGACTAGAAGATTTCTCTGAGTACTACTGAGCAGTACAACGTATTCAATAGTAAGTATTGACTTGCCTTTCAAAGCAGAATTATGTGATACTGATAAGATTGATTATATCACTTCTAATGTTGATTCTGCAAGGTGAACTTAAGGGAAACCATATTTCCAAAAGTCTGGTGCTTTCTTAAGCAAGATGGCAAGACCATCTAGATAGCTTGCAATTTGGAAAAAAAAAAAAAAAAAAAAAAAGGCAGCATGAGTAAAATGCTAGGGAAGAAAATGATTTGTTTGCTTTCAAATTTTTCATTCATGTTACTAATAGAATATTATGACATGAGGATTGAGCCATGCTGCACTTTCAATAAAGTTTTGTACAGAGATATTACTGTCTAGGGAATGTTTAAATCTAGCAGTTTTAAAGAAATAACAAGACTTTTACACAAATTCTGTAGAAGTATACTATTTCCATGTCTATAGTGACGACATTTTAAGATCTGTACTTTTCACAAAGTATTTATACACTCTATAATTTGTTGTAAGTTCAGTTAGTCATATCCATGTCATTGCTTATTTTCATTCCTGAAGCATTAATTACAGACCATGATATCCTTTCAACGAAACTACAGTAAGGCAAAAATGATTTTATTTTGGGTCATTGACCCTGATATGTAGAACTGAGGCTTACTGGTTTCCCCACTGACACTTATAGGAAAAAACTTTTGAGATTTACAATTGCTAAATTTCTTTGTTTATTTTGAAGCATACACATTTAAAATGCCCCTTATAGCATGTGTGCAGTCTCACCCAGTATAACACTATTACTGACAGGTGTATTTTCACATATGATCTTATTTTGGCATGTGAGTTTGATTTATGTATGCAAGACATAAAGACAATTCTGCTTGTTGGGTTAAGCAAGGGATTTAAAGATTCTTTGGACCTTTATCCTTCAGTATTGCAGTATTGGTTGCAACTGTTTTATCAGTATGGTAAACACAGATGAGTGTTTGTGAGACATACTTCTTTCAGAAAGAAAGTCCAGTAATGAAAGGTGAGTAATATTTGAGAATATCGGTGGTTTGTAATCTGTTACTTGTCACAAACAAAAAGAATGCTGAAATTTTGACCCTTCACAAAGGATTGTGTGAGATACTCATGATAGAAAAAACATCTTGCACTTTAATTTCTCCTTCATTAGTGTTGTTTGGTTTCATAACACAGCAGAGTTCCGTATAGAATCTTTCATCTCACTTTTGATCTTAAATGGTTATTATGTTAATGGCAGGAAGTAGATATCCTTTAATGTTATTGATGCATGCAGAATAGACTCTGTCTATTCATGAAAATGAAGGAGATGAAAAACACAAATACTTGTAAATGTTTTTGTGGAGTATGAAGGAGTTGCAGCCTTTTTTGTCTTGATCTTATTTTCTGTTTCTTAGAAGAGCAGAAACTTTCAGTTGCTGATGTCGAGGAATTCAGTTCATCGTGTGCAGGACACAGTGAGAAGGTTTATGTAACAAGAAGTTGGGAAAGGTGAGCTCTTAAGATGGAGAGAAAGAGAGTAAAGAGGGTTCTACAAAAGGGATCCAGAGCATAGCGGGCATAACTCCACCAGCTCTGGTGCTATTATGATTAATGACATCACTAATTATAATTAGTAACTACTGGATCTTTTTGTGGCTAACTTCTTTTTCTCAGATTATCTTATATATTAAGCCTATTTTCCTTCTTTTTGAAGCATATTTTTTAAAATGTCGAGAATAAATTTATCCAAGAGATTTTAAAAAACTATTTTTATATGTTTTAACCTTTCACTCATCCTAATATATGTGCTAACCTTGATTATTATACAGTGGATATATTCCATTTTAAATACTTGCTTGCTTTTCTTTGCTAGAACACCAGTCAACTTTTTGTAATTCAAACGCTTCTTTAAGTCTGTCATTTAAAAACTTTAAAAAAGAACCAGGTGATGTTGGTCTAAGTTATTAATACAAGAACAAGTCATCAGATAGCGAAAAAAATATTCAGTAAAAAATAGCTGAGCTCCTTTAATCTTGTAATTATACTCTTGCTCTCTCACTTCTAAAATGTTGAAAAGTGTTTAAGCCAATAAAACACAAGTTTTTTAAGTAACTGTTACAATGATGTGTTAACAGCCTATTGCTGCCAAATGGAAAATCTGTGTAAGTGATCAGACTTTGTGTCTCAGGCCTAATAAAGCTTCAAAGGCCAACCGCATTACCAAAGTGATGAGGGGTTGAGACTTTAAAACTATACTCACAGTCCTCATGATTTGTTGGTCTCTATATTACGTTTTTAAAGGCACTTTCTGTAAAAAATGAGTGTGTGGAAGCCAAGTCTAAAAAAAAAAGATAGGTAAGAGAGTTACAGGTAAGCAAGATATGAAAATAGAGGTAGTTTAATCAGATAAATGTGGACCACAGATTAATCCTGATATGATTAAGTACAGAGATGGATGATCAGTGCTAAAGAAATGGGGCAAGAAAATTGCAGGGACATTTAGAAGTAGAGCATTATTTTGTAAGTGCTAAGAATGTAGCACATCAATTACTGCATTCAGTGGTTGCTGCTCTGGCAGCTCTTAATATAAAACAAGCTCATCAGATGCTTTGCCAGATAACCTCTGGCTCTTATATAGATTTTTGAACAACGTATATAAATTATACATCATGAACAGCTCTGTCAGTGAAACCCAGCCTGAACAGCTCTATAGATACGGCTTGCTAAGCTTTTATATTTTTTTCTTGACCAATTTGGTAAATTATGAAATTACAGTAAAGGTGAGTTCCATGTCAAAGTTGTTAAGATAAAAGTTCCTTTTAGCTCCTTCTCAAAGAAGATTTTGGGTGAAGAGGAATGGTAGACAATATCTGAAATGAATCTAGAGGCTGTTTTAAAGTTAGACAAGTAAGAAATATTATGTCTCTAGTTTTTAAAATTCATTCTCAGTTGTTGTGCATGTCATTCCACAAATATTTGGGTTTAAGAGTAATTTACTGAATAGTCACTACTGTGCCAGAAGGGTGGGGATCACATACCTGAAATTGTTTTAGAGTATAGTTCCCTTATTTTAGCTATAAATATTGAAGCAAAGAACTCAGGACAGGCTAAAAAAACCATCAGTTTTAATTCATCATCAGCTGATGTTTCAACCATTTAAACTATTGAAAGAACAGAGTGAAGCAGCCAACACCAGTTCACAACTAACTGCAGCTTGTCTCCTAGTAACCGAGCAAACTTTTTTACACCACTTCTATGTCTGAGGATACATCCAAAAAATGGTAAAGGATTATTTAAACAATACAGGTTAACATACACGATTGTCAAAGGAAAATTAAGACTGGTCTGAATGAAGAATAAAGAGAATTATCTGTGTAGGGAAGTTCCAGAAGGGACAAAGGATAGAAGGGCTATAAGCAGTACTAGTCTTGATGACACATAGAAGAGCATGCTAGCAAGACACAAAGTCTGATCTCTTACACACATTTTCCATTTGGCAGCATCAAGCATAAATCTCAGTGATGTCTGTAAATTTCATCTAGTCTGTGGAGGACTCTGTAGTTGAATTTAGGTAGTAAAAAAGGTAAAACAAAGAGAATTGTATAGTATTTTTTATTCTAACTTACCCCATGTAATCCAACTAACTCCTGTTTGATGCTCTGGTGAAAATCTTGTGCAACAAGCCCTCTTGCTCTCTATGAATATGTCTATATATTAATTTGAAATAAGTAATCGCTCATAGATTCCAACTATTGTTTCTCTCTCATCATCTAGCTTGTCTTTGCAGATCAGCAAACAATTACAGATGTTGCATTTCCTAGAATCAACTGTAAGCAACAGTGAGGCTTACAACAGCTTCTCCTCCTTCTACAATATGGACTGTGTGCTTGCATACTTCTGATGTGATGGCAAATATTTGTTCATATTTCCCCTTCCAAGACTGTATCCCCACGCTTTGCAGTCACACATTTCATCACAAAACTCTTCCAGGCAGTTTTTCTATATTTAATATTCTGTGTTGTGCACATAGCAGTCTGTGCATAGTGGCTTAAACTTTGAGAAGAAAATAATGAAGACTATAATTCTCTTCAGCATAATGGCTGGACTGCCTTCCTCTCTTCCCATCAGATTCAGTGCTTCTGCTAGGGTCCAGCTGGGAACATGGCAAATGGAAACTGCCATCAATCACTGAATACCTTCCAGCAACTCAGCAGTAAATGATATTTCATTTATTATCCTTCTCTGAGAAATAGTTAAATATAGTACCATCAGACTACAGTTGTCATCTTCACTCTTCACATTAATTGACATTTTCAGAGTTGGAATACTGGGATTCAGGAGTGTCAGAAAGGTTTCCAGTTTTTCAGGAGAAAAAAAAAAAAAAAGTTTTTTTTTTTTAAATCCAGATTTTGTTATTGCTGTTGTTCACTTTCTAAAGCTTATTTTTCATGTTTTATTGGGGTATTTTTCTATTTGTTTTTTATTTTGTTGTTGTAAAATGTGTTTCTTTTTTCTCTTAAATCTGTAATTTTCACATTCTATCTGAAGAAATTTTTATTACAAGAAGGGGTTATAAATCCTAAAATATTTTGAAACCACCCAGGTACATATGAAGTAGTATTACAATACATCAATACATGATATATATTCATTAATTATATGTGTGTGGGTTTTTTTAATCTGATTTCAGTTTCTGGCATATATGTGTCATATACATGTAAATATATAAAGGGAAATATTTAATCCTTCCTTTATAAAGTCTTCTAAGCTGCATTCTGGCTCTCAGAAACTTGCTAAATTATCTTTTTTTCACCAATCCAGTAGAGGAGTAAAGCAGTAAAGGTTGTAAAACACTGGTAAATCAATCAGTTGAGTTTAGCTAGTTACAGTGTCAGCCATTAATCCACCAGTTTACGACACATTATTCTTTTGTATCATAAATGTTGTTAGCAAGTTAACCAAGACATGATTAGATTATTTATTTTCACACATTTGATTTAGGTGTTTCATGTGTTGTTTCATAATCCCTTGGGGGTGACAGGAATTTAAACCTTATTGTGATATATTTGGTTTGTTTATAGAGCTAATGGTTTTCACTTCTGTGTCTCTATCTGTTTGAGAAATTACTGTTCTGGAACAGGAACCAAATACAAATACTAAAATTAAAATACTAAATACTAAAATTGTTAACTGCAGCATGTTATAACCTAAATACATAATGAAAACTATAGGTTTTAATGTGCATTTTTGTGGAAATAAATGATTTTCTGAAGCCAAATTCAGCTAGCATTCATGTAAGCAGTTTGTTAGCAACATAAGGGTAACGCATATATTGTAACATCTGTAAATACAATTGTAACATTATGGAATACATACATGGAAACAAAATATATCAGGATATTTTTATTTAGATTTTTTTCCCTCAAATATATGTACAGTGAAAAACATGGAAATAATTTTAAAGGTGTGTAGCTAGTCCATGTCATGTAAGAGAAGAAAGAAAAGAAACTGTGGAGAAGCAATATAAAATTCCTACATCTTACTTGTTATCTTATAATTTCAAAGTGAACTTGAATGACTGTGGCAAAAATTTTTATCTCAGTTGCTCTTGGCTTTTTTTTCTGGAAAATATCCTGTAAATATAAGTACCTCCCTAAATATCTAGTTTTCTTGAACTTGAACCAATACACCTAGTCTTCTTGAACTTTTCTTGAACCAATATGCATGCATATATATAAAAACATATATAATTGCGTGTTAACATCACACACTAATTGTGTATTTTATATGTATTATACATATCCATCTATACTGCATGTATATATACAATACAGAGAGGCTATGTGTATATTTTTAATAGATGTATTTATATAGAGAAAAGAACTGGTTGAGTGCTTAACTGTCTTTATAATATGTATATATATATATATTTGTTTATTTTTTTGCAAAAACAGACTGCATAATTCCCTTGCTGAAAAGCGATCTTATTCATGTCTCAACCTTAGCAGTTAACTTTTGTGTGGTTATTTCCGGAAGGATGAGCTGTTTCCTCTCAGTGTAGATAAACAAAGTGAAGTGTTAGAATGGGAGCTAATATTGTGACAATTCTCAGCAGTACAGAAGAAGCCAATATGTTAGCGTTTTGTTGCTAACTGCTTATTTCTACTCAAAGTGAGAGCAAGTACTGAACAGGAAGAAATGGCTCTACAAGGCCTTTATCCAAGTGTAGAAGATCCTTTTATATGTTTGACTGGAAGAAAACTATGTATGTGTACTGCTTTCCTTACTCCATCTTCCACGACACAGAGTTAAGGCCTGTGCTTCTGGCTGAGCAGCCCCATAGAGCACAGAAGTCCTGGGCTTGTGAGAGTTTCTGCCAGGGATCCACACCGGCTGCCTTGTTCCAGATGAGTCCCTGTGCACAGAAGGACACCTTTTGTGGGACATGGGGACAGAGACAGACATGCTTTCTATGTTTCTGTGAATCACATATACTATGAATTTTTTCATTCTCTTATAGGCTTATGTTTAAGATCTGTCATGGTAAAATAGAGATGTGAAGGAGGCATTTTTATTTTTAGAAGTCTTCCATTAATTCACATGTTGAGGATAAGAATTCAGAGTCTGTTACTCTTTTCAGATGTCCTAGCTTTTTCAAAGACTTTTCTTCTTAATAGGGACATCTTTACTTCATCAAGACTCTTTGTAAAGGTCTGACGAGGTTCAATCTGTTATTGACACACCGAAAAGAAAACCAATCTTAAGAAAGTCATTCTTATGTGGGTTGTACTTTTTTTGTTTTGTTTTGTTTTTTTTTTTTGTATCCTCAGCCAGGAAATATTTTACTCAGATGATAGTCTTAATCTTTTCACTGATATAGTCTAACAAGTTTGCTAGTCTAAGCAATCAATTAAACATGCTGAAACCTAGTCTCTGGCAGCAAGGCCAGCTGGCATGAAATGGTCTGTGTCCATTCAATTAAGCTTTGTTAGTCTCCAAAACAGAATGGTGGCAGGCAAAATAAGTACTGGGAATGGATCCTTGCATGCATTCATTTCTGAACCTCCAAAACATTGTTTTCTTAATTCAAAAGCCTGCCAAGACTTCTCTATCAACAGATGATCAAGTCAAAATATCCAAATCTGAGCTATTACATTGGTTAATTTGCTAGTACAGACACAGCTATAATATTACAAAGACAGGGCTTAATATTGCCTTTAAAACTAATGTTAAAAAAAAAAAAAAAAAAAAAGAAAGAAAAAAAAGAAAAAAGAGTTCTACAAAAATACAGTTTCAGTCAGTAAAAAATGAGGTTGATGATGGAACTGGAAGACAGCAAGCCGTTCTGCTGTTTTTCTTTCAGGGTTGGGGGGGCGATTGTGTGTGTGTTTCAAAACATCTCTCTGACTATAAAGCCCTCCCCTGTGAGGACTGAATGGCCCATTTACCTGAAACAATGGAATGTTAGTATGTAGCAGACGTTTTTAAGCAAGGATTATAAAATCTGTGCAAATGCTAAACATGAGGATTTCTGAACAATCTATATTCTGATCCCAATTTGCAGTTTCTTGGTTCTTCTATAATCTTCTCTCCACTTTAGGAACCTGCCTGAATAATAATATAAAAAGAAGTACTATTTTTCTTTTTTCCCTCAAAAAAAAAGTGGAGTGGATTTTAACCTAAGCAAATCAACCATATAATTGCTTGCAAAATACGGATTTGTTCCAAAAGAATGAATTTCAGAGAAATGGCAACTCCTCAAAGAAATCACTTATGAGACTAAGGGTTGGGGTTTTTTTTGTTTTTTGGGTTTTTTTTGCTTTGTTTTATTTTGTTTTGCTTTTAAACTCAGATATCAGAGTCATTTGAGTGCAATTCAAGCCCTGAATGATCTGTTAAAAATAAGGTGTCTTTCTATTCTTAGCAAAAAGCATCTTGTATCTAGGAGATCAGGTGAGGTTTTTCTAAGTGTTGCTAATCAAAACTGCTAATATCTGGGCTTTTTCTTTTCTTTCATCTTTAAGAATGAAGACAGAATACAGACCAGTCAAAATCTGTTTGCTGTCTTTGACACAATTCAGCATGAGGACACTTTATCTTCACTTGTGTAGAGGTGACACAAATTATTTTGTCACTTCTGATCGCTGCAGTGTGTGGAGAGCAAAGGAGAGAATTTCATGGGCAGCATTTGGTGGGGGAGATTCACACTTAGCCTGACAGAAGGCCACATTACCCATGAATACCACTCACGTCCAAAATCCTTCTGTCTTGCCGCAATGCCCAACTGCTTCAGAGCAGTACTCCAAATACTTGCAGATAAAAAATAGATGTTTTCCTAATTTTGTTTCTCCTGGTTAATTTAGAGGGAAAAAGATATATTTTTCTTCAGTAAAGCCTTTGACCAGAATTCCAGTCATTCCAGACAAACTCGATATTGAAACCAGAGTTGTTCCCTGTGCTGATGGACATTAAAACACATTAAGTAAGACTCCATCAGTAACAGAGAATTCATCACTTCATGCCCATTTGCTGGATTTATGTAGGATTCTGATCCACTTGAGGATCACTTAGTGGCAAACTTTGAAGAAATATGATCATAAAGCTTGATTGCTAGATGTAGAACTATATTTAAGACAAAATCATTGTTGTAAAAATTATAATTTCTTAATAGATATTTGTCAGAGATCTTCAGTGACATAATCTTCTAATTCTTTTTTGTTGATTTTGTTGTTGCTGTTGTTGTTGTTTATTTTATTTTCCAGACTCCAATATTTGGTTTGTTGGATATAAACCCTTTTTTTTTTTCCTTAGATTAAAAACTAGCTTTCCAAATATGCTTCCTAAAGTGAAGTTACAAGACTTGTTTATTTTTTTGTTTTATTAGCAGGGAGAATTTAAATCTTTATTCTTTTTAAGGTCTTTAAAGAAATGTGATTAAAAATGGTAACAAAAGCAAGAATCCATCCAATTTCCATGTACATATTAATAAACCTCTGATCCTTTCCTCGTGAAATTGTGTACAAAGTACTTGGCAAGACTCTTTATGGTGTCCTGGAATATAGACTTTTTTTTGAGAATGTTGTAAACACCTGTCCTGGTTTCATCTGGGACAGAGTTGATTTTCTTCATGGCATCTGGTATAGTGCCGTGTTTTGGCTTTAGGAGAAAAACAACGATAAAAAATTATAGAATCATAGAATGGCCTGGGTTAAAAAGGACCTCAAAGATCATCTAGTTTCAACCCCTGCTATGTGTAGAGTCGCCAACCACCAGACCAGGCTGCCCAAAGCCACATCCAGCCTGGCCTTGGATGCCTCCGGGGATGGGGCATCCACAACCTCCTTGGGCAACCTGTTCCAGTGTCTCACCACCATCTGAGTGAAAAACTTCCTGCTAAATCAGTGTTTTAGTAGTTGTTGAGCAGTGTTGCACAGCGCCAAGGACATGTCAATTTCTCAGTTTCTCATATAATTCCAGTGAGGGAACTGTGGGAGCACAAGAGCTGGGAGAGGACAGAACCAGGACAGGTGACCGAAAGTAGACAAAGGGATATACTATAGCACATATGTCATGTGAAGCTATAAAACTGAAGAGTTGGGTGAGGGAGGGTGGGGAGGAGTAGGCAGCTCATGTTTGGCAACTGGATAGGCATTGGTCAGTGGCTGATAAGAAATTACATTGTGCATCATTCGTTTTGTAAATATACATGCATATTGTCATTACTATTATTTTTCCTTTCCTTTTCTATCTTAATAGTTTTTATCTCAACTGACAAGTTTTACTTTGTTTTTTATTTTTCCAGATCTCTCCAACATCCCGCTGGGAATGGAGCTGAGTGAGTGAATGAATGGCGGTGTGGTGCTGAGCTGACTACAAGGTTAAACCACAACAGCTCTGTAATGCCAGGTCTCTTCTGTATATTGCCAATAAAGAGAGGTGCTTGGGCACTTTCAGAGGATTGCCTGTCACTGAAAAGAAACCATATTTTAGCCCTTCAAAACAGATCCTTAAACAAATTGACACTGGAATAAATGTAGGTAGGTGTTAATACACATCTGTACGTATTTTCAATATGCAACATCCTTCAGAGGTGCTATCAAAATATGTAGTCTTTGAGCTTAGTGCTGACTAATGTGAAAGTACTCATATTTTCTCAGTAATCCCTCTCAGTTGCTTTATATTACTCCATAAATACTTGCTTTCAACTTGTCCTATGCTGAAGAGCACCTTTAACTCACTGTCAGGATGTGGCCTCTTTCTGCTGCAGAAAGGCATGAGGAAACATTCCTGGAAGTTTAAAAATCTTCTTCTGTACCTGGATGCAAAAATCTGAAGCGATAGAAACAGTAACATGTCCTACCATGACTAATTAGCATTGTAAATTATACTATTTGATCCTGCCTTGTCCTCCAATCTAGAGCAAATTAGCTTATGTTTATTCTTAAACCCATAATTTGTTTTCGCTGCCACCCTGTTACCATTTGCCAGGGGACTTCAGACCTCAGGTGCTCCACTGTAGATATTTGACCTCTCATTCTTCTGTTTGTCTGCTTTGTCCTGCTGAGACCCTTCCTTTTCTTAGTGCAGTCAGCTGAGGAGACACGAGGCCAGCTCTGGCCAGCAGTAAGCTGCAGCCTGTCTAGAGATGCCTCAGGCCACACAGAGCAGAGAGGAAATGCCTCAGCCTCACTGGGGAGGACAACCTTCCCTCTGCAGCCTCACTGGGCAAAAGAATAGGAAACAGGGCAGATGTCGTCACACCTTGCCTGGCTGGCATTAAAACTTCAGAGTAAAATCTGCTCGTGACGCTGGCTGTCAACATTTGTTCTTCCCAGATGGCAGAGCTAAAATGCTTCAACCTTTGAAGAGTATTAATAATATTTCATTTCTCTCATGTATACTGCATTGCAGAATGTTTTGACCTTTAAAAATAAGATTAAAAAAACAATAGGGCAATAGCTTAGAGGACTTCTGCAATACATATGTATATTTGTTTTGCTTTAGTTAATGAAACAGTTGGAAAAAGAATGCAGGTAAAGGTTCAGACAGTTTGTTACCGGCTGCACACATCAGATCGATTTCATGAAAGATATCACCTGTAGTTAATAACTTAAACAAAGCTACAATGCTGTACATCCATTTGAAATGGAATTTTCATTAATACAGGACCTAATAATAGGTTAGGTAATAGATCTGGTATATAATGCACAGTCAAACAGAAATTCATTCTAACTATTATGCATAGGAAAAAAAAAGTCACAAATTAAAACAAAAAACGATCAAAAAAAACAAAGAAAAAAATGAAAGATTTCTGTATTTTTTTTTTGTGTTCATTATTTAGCAGCAGAACTGTAGCTGAACCAGTCTTTAAGGACTCAGAATCAGTTTAGCCCTCAGGGAGCTCTCTCTCACCTCTGTATTGCCAGGGCATAGCAGATCCACTTGACAACAGCTGACAACAGGGCTGCTCTGACAAGCCCTTAAAGGGCAAGACAGGTAGTCACTAAAATTAGGGCACTGCTTGTATGACTACAGTTTCACAGTTCTGTTCCAAGATGACATCTGGCACTTCTGCACTTTTTTTTTTTTTTGGTATAATATACTCACCATCTCCTTCTAGTCTGTCCAACTGAGAAAGCCTCATTTTTTCCCGTTACAATGTATATACGGCTTGTCTTGAAACCAATGAGCCCCGTGTCCTTATCATATCATGCTTTCTTTGCTTCCCTCAGTAAAAAATGTCTGTTTTTCCTCTTGTTTCTGTAAGTTGATTCTCTTCAGTAAGATTTGTTTCCTCCAGTCAGCATGCAGGCATTAAATATATGATCAAATTGATTGTCCTAACTGGCCACTTGGATTCCTCGCCTGTTTTCACAGATTCTCTTCATTTATCTAGGCCAGCCACTAGTGTGGATGTTCCTGGAAGAAGATATTAGGGTTCTTTACTAATTTTTTCACCAGTTGGTTATTCGGTAGTGCTGCCCATGGGAGCCATTTTATAACGACCCTGATGAAAAAGGGAATATTGCCATATAAAGCAATATTGCCATAAAGCCAAGTGAAATGGCCCTCATTTTGTTACTTGAAGAGAGCAAGATAAATATTCATGCTGTAGATATACTGTATTTTATTGTGATTGAACCACAGAGAGTAAAGTGAGCTCTTAGACATTTTAACATAGGTATCGTGCTTACAATGTTTTCATGATCACCAAAGAACTTCTATCTAGGTTTTATGTGAAATTTAGTTGTTAAGTTGGGTGCAAGCAGGCATATACTTTCTTCTCCGTATAAAATGGGGACATTGAGAATGGCAAATAGAAAGCTATATTGAAAACAAATGTTCCATTATGGCATTCAGCAACAACTTGCCTAAAGCACATGCCACAATCTTCATACAAGTAAGACTTCAGAAACAATTGATTTAATACTAGTAATCATAGTATTGAATTATGATCACTTAACAAAAAACAGGGCTAAATGTTTCTACTAAATGCAAATGCAAAGATTTTTTGCTTAATAACAAAAAGTGCAGATACAGATTGCATTGATTTTTATGTAACTAGGAAAATCTTAGACAAGAACAGTAAGAACTTTAAAAGAATAGAAATTCATTGCAAATCCTGAGTCTGAATGAGAATCATATTACTATGTAGCTCTCATGACTTTATGAATGTGACAACAAGAATTTGCATCATAAAGATGTCTATAAACAAATTTAATGTCTCTACTTTTATCTATATTCACACTGCAAGTTCCACTTCACTAGCAAATCAAGGGATCTATAATAAAAACCATTAGGCTTAATTGATCCCTTTCACTGTCTTTGATAAGAAATGAAAGGAATTCTGTGATTTACATTTTGTTGCAACGTATTTTAAAGGTTATTTTAAATACAAAAGAGAAAACGCAACATGCATTTTCCAGTGTTTCAAAGTCATGTATAAGTAAGTCATTTGCATCAGGCAAAAGACAAAAGTTGCTGAGTAGGCTTAGTGAGCAGATAATCATCATCTTTCTGGGCTTCACTCTCATATTAGATTATACTCAGCATGAAAAACAAAAGCCACGAGGAAAAAGCGTTTGACCATAAGACCTGAATGTTCTTTTATTTATTTATTTATTTATTTATTTATTTTTATGCCAGCGGAGGAAATTCTGGGTATCAGTATTCTGGAAGCACTTTTGCAGTTGTATTTGACTTGATCTGACCTAGTAGAACAAGAGCTCTCTGTCCCCCTGAACAGGAAAACAATCAGAGGAAGCAGGAAATCAACATGTCTGAGCAAGGACTTGCTGCTCAAACTGAAGGACAAGAAGTATGCATACAGGCATTGGAAACAAGGATTTGTGTTCTTGGAAGAATATATGGATGCTGTCTGGACATGCAGGGCTGGAATCAGGAAAGACAAGGTATAGGTAAAACTGTACTCAGCAAGGAATGTAAAAAATAGCAAAGGTTTGTGCAGATACATTAGTTGGAGGAGACAGAGGAGACAAGAGGAATGTATGCCCTCTGATAAACAAGAAGGGAAAACTGACTGCAACAGATATGGAGAAGACTGAGGTAACTCAATTAGTTCTTTGCCTCAGTCTTGACTGGCAGCCAGGATTCTCATGTCTCTTATGTCCCTGAAGCTCACATTCCTGAAATTCTAGGTGAAATTCTGTGGGAGAAAAATCCCTCTCACTGTAAGTCTGAAACTGCCTCAATGAGTCTGAATGTGTGCAAGTACATGGGGCCTAGAAACATGCATGCTAGGGTCTTGAAGGAGCTGACTGAGGTGGTTGCCACGCTACTCTCCATCATATTTGAAAAGTCTTGGCTGTTGGGCAAAATCCCCCATGACTGGAAAAAGGGAAACAACTCCCGTTTTTAAGATATGCATAAGGAAGATCCCAGGAACTACAGGCAAGTGAGACTTATTTCTGTGCCTGGAAAGATCATGGCACAGATCCTCCTGGAAAATGTGTTAAGGCACATACAAAATGATTTAGGGCATTTCATATCTCACCAGTCTGGTAGCCTTCTACGATGGAGTAATAGCATTGATGTTAGAGAGGTATGCATACAGAGGAATAGCCAGCATGGAGAGGGCTTGGCTCTCTACTCCATGCTTGTGAGGCTCCATCTACAGTACTGCATCCAGATCTGATTCCTTTAGCTCAGGAAAGATGTGGAGCTGTTGGAGTTGGTCCGGAGGAGGGCCATGAAGATAATCAGAGGGCTGGAGCACTCCTATAAAGACAGGCTGAGGGAGCTGACCTTGTTCATCCTGGAGAAGAGAAGGTTCTGGAGAGACCTCACTGAGGCCTTCCAATATTCAAAGGGAGCTTATATACAGGAGATAAATGAACTTTTTGTGTTGTCTAATAGTGATAGAATGAGGGAGAATGGCTTTAAACTAAAATATGGGAGATATAGATCAGATGTCTGGGAAACATTTTTTACTGAGAGGGGGTAAGACACTGGATTGTGTTGCCCAGAGTCTGTGGATGTCCCCACCCTGGAGGTGTTCAGATGAGGTTGGATGGAGTTCTGGGCTGATCTAGTGCCTGATTTAGTTACTGACAACCCTTCCCATGGTAGGGTTTTGGAACTAGATGATTTTTAAGGTCTCTTCCAACCAAAGCCATCCTATCATTCTATGATTCTAAATTTCCTTCATCAATATAGTATTTTCTCGAATAGTTGTTTCTAACTTCATGTCTGCTTACATTTTAATTAACTTCTTAATTAAGAGGAGATTAAATGGACATGCAGCTTCTTACTCAAATATTTTTAAATTATTTCCATCTGTGAATCTTTTTGCAAGACTGAACATAAGCCATGTATCAGGAAAGTTAGGACAATTAATATCTTCAATCTTGCAGTAAACTAATTTTTTTACAGTCATGCTTCAAATTTCACACAGAAGAAAATTCTGTATCCTAAAAGGGTGGTTTTGCCAAAAGCAGGGTAAAGCACTAAAATGTCAAAATGCCTTTTGTGGCACAGCTGCAGTTCTGTCATGGAAAAGAAAAACAGTGTTTTCACAGAGCAGCTGTGGCTAAAATGGAAAACATCAATAAGGGACAGAACTTATGAACACATCAGTTGTTACATAAAGTTAATAACAAGATATGCGTATTCTTACTCACTATTCCAGCAGCTGTCGTGCTAGTTTTAACTTTTTCCCCAGAAAATTATTTCTGGACACTCTGAAATTATCAAAGTAAAACTACAAATCAAGAAACAAAATCTTTTAAAGCTTTTCTGAAGACTCAGAAAAGTCTTTAGAAAAGGTGCATATCAATTTCCTGTGTCCTAGCATATGACAGAAGTTAAACCATCATGCTGTATTGCTGCAGATGTGAACACTGGACTCATCCTGGTCCTTGATTGCACTCACAGCTCATATAGATGATACTGAATCATTACAAGAGTAGATCCATAGTAATGAGCAAGTTGGATCAGCCCACCAGTATATGTCTAAGAAGCCTAAGGCTTATTCTTATTTATATGGTGTACCATTTATATGGTAACCTAGAGACTGAAAGATCACTGGAGTTCATCACCCCAGTTCTTTCAGTACATGTTACAGCTGGGAAAAGTGACATCAAATTTTTCCCAGCAGAAATTTTCTTAGATCTATTACATAAGGCTGATACTTTCATTGCCAAGTATGTGAAGTAATAGGCTGCTTCAAACTAGCAGAACAGCAAAAAGATTAACTGGAACACAGCTAAGAATTGCAATAAACTGATTTTTCACTTTGGCTTTTGATGTTGAAAAAAAAGAGCAACAAACTTTGAACAAGTTTTATGTTTAAAAAATGTCTTGCACAGTACTCTATTTGGTAGTCCACCCACTAATATTTCTTACTGACAGTAGCAACTGGAAAAGCAGAAAGTGGTACATAACATAGTGTTTGCTGCATTGTATCATTTATTCCCATCACAACCCGGTGGCTGCTGGCCACAGCTCCAGGCATCCAAGGTAATGCCTGTTAAAGTTATCTCCTATGACAAAATGCATGCAGGCACTGCAGAATGAGCAGCCTTTTCAGACTGCAGACTTTCTGCACCATGTGTGCTTCATTAATTATTATTATTCATGTTCTAATTGTTATTATTTTACAGTGCCCAAGAGGAATGTAGGTTTTTTGTCATCTGTTAAAGATACAATTAGAAGAACTAGGCTCAAAGGAGCAGCTAAGGCAGATGGCATATTAGCAGTTAAATATATAAAACTCTTCTCTCAAGTTTTTGCAGTGAGAAAAACAGATCTCTTTTTTCTTTTCTTTTCAAGGAAACAATTTATTTCATGATGAGTTTGCATTTCGGGGCTCTCAAGAGTTTTGACATCCAGACTAAAAACTCTTAAATCTGACATTATTTTGACTGAGTCAGAATCATTTATTCAGATGCTCTTGGCATAAAGAAATCTCTGCTACTTTCTAAAGCAAATAATATGCGCATGTGTCCAGCTTCTCTCTTTTGCCTGCCACATTTCCAGTTAACCTTGGTAGCCAGGTTAGTGGAAAAACAGTGGTTTAATGTAACACAGGCGGTGACCTACCAGATGACCTATGCAGATCAGATGA